TTTGCTATTAAACCCCAGATTGGAAAATAGAGCAACTAAAATTTTCAGAAGCATGTAACTCTGGAAGTCAGTAGTTCAGGTTTGTAAACCATTGTTCTTAAAACGTATTGTCAGAATGAAATGTGTTGCACCATGTATTGATTTAGGAGTGAATGTAATGGGGACAGTCCAATCAGTATACAGTAGTGATAAAAGCCATAAAGACTTTTTGTATGAAGTCTGCACATGAGACAATTACCAGAATATAACACAAAATTACTTTTTTAAATGGCAAGTTTTTCAAGAGAACAAGACTAAAAATCATGCATGCAGTAACAAATGGGGCACTTAAGAACCACCATCTTTATTCCGAACAATTGAAGACTGATCACAGTTACTTTAGCACCATGAGAAACATGAGACAACATTTCTTACCCTTCTAACAAAGCAGATCTTTAAAGAATGGAGTTAAGGCTAGCAAACGTATATCCTTTAATATCAAAAACAACATACAAAATATGATGTCTATAAAGATACTTAAACATGTGTTATCAATATTAGCACACTTTTTAGTATAAAATCACCCTAATCTTGGCATACACAGTTCTCAGACATTAAAAATGTTGATGAAATATATTTATATATAAAAAAAGACTAAAAGGCATACCGGGAATATGCCAGAGTTTACATGACCAGTAACTTATGGGCTGTGTAGAACTGAGGTGGTGCCGTGCTTGTCAACAGTGAAACACACACATGAAAAGAATTATGTTTTCCTCCCGTCTCCCACATTCCAGTGCCACAGCTCCTGTAGTTAAATGCAGAATATTTGTGTATGCCCTGGTCAAACTACATTGTATTTATAACACATACACACACACTCTTAATATTGGAGGGTCAGTTCTGACAGGAGTTTATATGCCTTAAAGTCAGCTTCCATAACACTTCCAGCTCCCTGGAGGGGAATGCAGCCCTCAAACAACGCAGCACCTCTGCTCCCTGCTCAGAGAGGTCAACTGAGCCCTCCTGCATGGGCTCCTATGCAGCAAGCAGCAAAGCAGGGAACTACCCTGTGCCAGCACAGTGAGAACCTGGCTGTTAAGCTGACCAGTAAGGGTGATAGTAAGGATAGTAGTGTTGATTCCCATCCCTTAGACACATCCTTCAGGGCTGCAAGGAAGCACCTCCTGTCCCTTTGGTGTGTACTACCTGATGCAAAGAACTGAGCAACCTCACATCTCCCACTTCACAGGAACTTGCCTATTCTTATCAGGCTATGGCTATTCAAAGGTTTAATGCAGGGAAGAAGTTCAAGAACGGAAGGCTGGAAAGTACTGTCCATACCAACTACGGTGCATACCAGCTTTGACAATCCAGTGTTTCCAAACGGAAGGGGGGAATGTATATGCCTAGACATTGTGCATGAAGAGCCAAAGGAGAAAAAGTGTCAGTTGTCTATCATCTCATCTGATACTGAATATGCCCTGAAGGATGGTCACAGAATGGCTGTCACCACCTCTGACTTGAATGAACAATTTAGGAAGGTCCATAAATGTTCACTGAAAATAGGAGAAAAAAAAGTTAATGCTGAACAAAGAACTGGAGGAAAGAAATTCCTACTAAGAGTATGTTCACTTGAAGTTGGTTTGAGACTTGTACAGGTCCTCTAAGATGCAGCCAGAAAAAATCCAACAATATTTTTTTATTAATTATACATTGTATATTGTTGCATAACTTAGGTGTAAATAAGAATCTGAATGGCTTTCATTATTTCAGACTCTTTGCTGAACAGCTGTATTTACAAGTATCACATACCTACTGAAAAGACATGTCAGCCAAAAAACCCACCCCTAGCTCAAAATTACTCTTGGTTTCAAGATCTGGTGTATTAAATTACAGCATTAAGTAGGACTGGAAATTTCACATTGCCGGTTTAACTGAACCTCTTTCTACCTAATTTCTTCTGAAGCTTACCCTGAGAACATTCGATGGAAGAAAGATGATTGCTTTCCCACTCTCTAAACAGAGTAATGTCTACAAAGAGGACTCTATGATATGTTCTCAAGAGGGGGATCTATCTGAATGACTTAGGGCCTTTCTTGAACTAAGCTAGTATTCTAGTTTTAGAATCTACCCCCAACATGATTAAATCTGGCATGAATTAGGTTATCAAAACAGGAGTTCAACAGGTTTCCCATGAACAGGTTTTCACATCTAAAATTAAATTGTTAGAAAAATTTATTTGATTTTACTCAGTGAAAAATCAAATTGACTAATCAATGCTTTTTCTCTCCTGGTTTTCAAAGTAGCAACCGCTGCTACATTATGCAGTCTTTTTATTTATTTTTTTTTAATAAGCGTACTAAATAGTTGCTATTTGTATTGAGGGTTTGTTTGTTTTCAAAGGGAGATGGCTAACCTCATTCATAAAACCTCAGGGCGTATAGAATCCAGTGTATCTCTAAGTCAGTTTCTCAGTGGTTAGTTAGCCTCGCTGCTAATAAGCAGAAATTTACTTTCATTTTAACAGCATCTTATCCAGCCTTAGGACACAATCTTCTTATGCTTGTGTCCAATAAGGAGCATTTCTACTGGACATTTTCCCCACAGCTACAAGCTAACACTAAAAATGCTAACGGAATTCTCATGCATTAGTCTTTTTTTTTCTTAACCTCTTCAGAAAAATCTTCTTTTCCGCTTAAGCCTTTTCAATTTCAGCATCGTTGTAAAACAAGCACTGGCATTAGGAACAGGTTCGTTATTCCTGCATCAGCACATCAGCATAGCTTCCTCACCCCTAATTCTGCTTTCCTCTTGTCTGACATCCCAATCACTAGCTGGTTTTAACATAGTAACCAGTCCTAAACATCTATTCACTCACTGTAGTACCCTCTTCCTGGACCCTCTGGGGTTTGGTTTGGGTTTTTTTTCTTTGCTTAAATGCTGTCCTTCATATTTGTGAGGTAATTTACATTTTTACGTAAATATGAGTTTGGATTTTTATGTAGATAGATACATTTTAAAAGCATATGGCAATAATGAATTCATACTATCATTATACTATTTCTGTATAATTTCTAAGACAATTATTTTAGATTCCCTCCCAGATAATTTATACAGATACAGAGCAGCAAGTCAAGAAGTTGCCACAATTACATCAAAGTGTCTGGTCACAATGATTTCCAACGGCAGTAGTGCTAAAAAGCAGCCTTGTTTTTGGTTACAAACTCAATGCTAAAACACATGAAATGTAAGATCTGTGATAAACGCTTATTTTTCATAACAAAGCAATAGGAAACAAGAGACTTTTACCACACTTACTCAACACCTGCTTTAACCAAATAGATAATACTGAATGACATGTTCTGCAGAAATAATCCAGGCAAAACCAGCATAGGCTGTTAACATCATTTTTTGTAATGAATACAGCATTTTATAGCCATTTTAATTAATAGTATGAATATTTTAATGATGTTTTTAGAAGTACTTACGAAGTAAATTTTACAGATTGGTTTGGTATTTTTTCCTAGGTTCAAGTCCTTCCCATACACATCTAACATTTTAAGATTCAGTTCTCTCATGTAAAGCAGGGATTGAAATTCTGCAGTATATAAAAGGTATGAGTTTTGATCTGCAACAGTTCAGATGCTTTTCATGATTGGCCTGCATACTTTCCTGTGGCTATGCATACTTAGAAAGATCTTAGATTAAGATTGTTATTTGTTTGTTGTAAGTTAAAGATGTAAACATTCTATGTAATAGTATTGCTAATACAGTGTTTTATATCACAAATGTACATGGGTCTTCTGAGCATTTTATTACAACTCTGGAAAAAAATAATAAAAATAAAGGACAATAAAAATAATTTTTAAAACAGTATGCCTCTGGTTTATGTAAAGAACAGCTATTGTTGTTAATTATTAAGAAAATGCACTTAAATGTGCATTTTGTCTTCAGATCACATTTAGTTTACTCTTTGCTATGACATATCTAAACAAGAAAATGGAAGTTATTCATATTGAATAGACCTGAAGTGAAGAATGATTATGTATTCCACCGCATTGCTGATCCATATCCACAAACAATGTGCTTGGAAGTGTTTGATGATAAACTGAAAAGCAGTGTTTTCATCTCAAAATATTATGCATTCATGTATTTTTCAAAGAGGTTTTCAGAAATACCTGCTTGAAAAACAGTGCATAATACCCAAGAATACACAAGTAAGTAACAGGGCCATATGTTTAGTATGTTAAGCAAGAAGTAGGACATGCAAAGTCATTTTATACGTGAATAAAATATGGTGCTATATCCTACATGCAACTGAACACAGCTATTAAGACCGATAATAAACCTGCATGTTCACTTAGTGCAAAAATCTTTACTTGCTGAATGTCATTTTAACAGCTTGTGTATATTTCCACATTAAAAACAACTTATTATTGCACTTAGAATGTATCCTTTAAAGCTGTCTTGGTTTTAAGAATAAAAAAAATAAATGTAACAAGTACAACAATCATCTGAAATTTAGACTAATTCACAATACTGTTCCAAAGTCTTACTGTCAGTACAATTTCCAAACTGTCAGCTCTTCTGAGGTTTAGCTGAAAACAAACACACACATATACGTTAATAGTATTGCCTCCAACAAATAAAAAAAAAAAAAAAAAAACCAACCCTTTTTTTGCACTCGGAGCTGCGTTTGCACATACTCAAAACCTGTGCCCATCAAAAATTCCATCCTTAACGTTCTTTGTTTGGGCTACTGTGAAAAGGCAAATGCAAAAGCAGGCGAGTGCTTAAGCAAACTGAGCAGGCTAGGCTATTTAGAGGAAATTAAACAGATGGTTCATAATTTAGCTTTCTAATGCAAGATGATTTCAGCAAGAGTTAAGGGAATTAAAGATATGCATATTCGTGATACAGAATTATAAAAGACTAAAACAGTATGAGAAACTTCAAAAAAGACATCAGCCATCAGAGCTACTACATTTTCCAGTATGAACACACACGGCTGTGCCTGCATTGGATGGACCATGAACGTTACTGAAGAATCCTGGGTCAGTGAACCAAAACCAGCTTTCGCACTCCCAGAAATAGGTTCTGATGAATTAGAAAAATATTCTCTTCACACACAGAATCACTACACATGTACACACTAATGCTACAAAACTTCAAATACCTTGAAAACGTGGCTTCAAATCAAACTCAATGACTCATCAAAAAAGTTCAATGGTATAAAACCCCCTTATAGTAGTTCTGCTATTTGAGCAATAGTTCAAGACTTCTTCAGCATCATATAGTATCTTCAGCCAAAAAGTACAAATCTAGCTTCAGTAGAAGGTGGCCAGGCTGGTACAGGGAAATAAAGCATCAAAACCCAGATTCCATTTCTTTGACTGGCTTTTCTGTAGCACCTGACACCAAAGTGCTTTCATTTTCCAGCATTTTCTCAGTAGTTTCTCCATCAACAGGTTTTGCTCTGTCTTTTAACTTCTGCCGTTCATGGACCCAGGGGATGAAACATAATATAGCTCCGCCAATAAGGGGAGGGACTCCAGCCAGGTAGAAGGCTACATCATAGCTGCCGAGGTGATCATGCAACAAACCTGTAAAGACAGGAGGTTACCACTAATAAATACTGGGGCCTTGGGAGGCTAGACGACAAGTACATGTTTTCTTTGGATTCAGAAACTTGAGAGCCAGCACACGTTATTATAAGCACTGATCTGACTTCCTGATGGCCAAAATGTAGGCCTATATACATTGAGAGGTACTCTAGAGTTGATTTAAAGATTCTAAGTAATGAAGAATTTGGTGTGTCACCACTCAAATGCTTAATTACCACCCATCACGGAGACACTATTGTGATAGGACGAGGGGTGATGGTTTTAAACTAAAAAGGGAGATTCAAACTGGATGTGAGGGGGGAAAAAAAAAAAAAAAAAAATCTTTACAATGAGGGTACTGAAATACTGGAACAGGTTGCCCAGGGAGGTGGCAGATGTGCCATCCCTGGAGACATTCAAGGCCAGGCTGGACGTGGCTCTGAGCAACCTCACCTAAATGAAGATGGCCCTGCTCACTGCAGGGTCAATTTAGAGTCCTTCTGTAACTGTCACCTCAACAGCACAGAATATGTCAGGTCCTCAATCTAACGGTATTCCTCTTTTGAGGAATGTTTTACATCTGCATAACTTAATAAAAAAGACTGAAGCAAACTTCAGAGTATTATATGGAGAGTATTGTAGTATTATCTAAGTTCAGTAAATTAATAACCCATGAGCAGCAGTTAAATTCACCATATACTCTGTGGCACATGCTGAGAAATCTTCCAATTTAAGTGCACTATGTACAATGTAGAATGGAAAATACAGCCAGAAAGGCATGCAACCATAGAAAACAGATTAACAGCCACAGAGCATAGAATCAGAGAACAGTTAGGGTTGGAAAGGAACTTAAGATCATCTAATTCCAACCCTCTTGCCATGGGAAGGGACAGCTCACACTAAACCATGTCACCAAAGACTCCATCCAACCTGGCCTTGAACACTGCCAGGATGGAGCACTCACAACTTCCTTGGGCAACCCATTCCAGTGCCTCACCACCCTCACTGTAAAGAACTTCTTCCTTACATCTAGCCTGAACTTCCCCTGTTTAAGTTTATGCATATCTATTATGTTTAAGCATATCTATACTTACCTGCAATGGGTGGTCCAACTGTCATAGGTATTGACATGAGTCCCAGTAGAAATCCTATGGCCTGGGAAACATCCTGAGCCCCAACAAGCTCAAAGGCAATAGGAGCCATAATGCAAATGAAGCACCCATCAAACAGGCCCATTAAGAGACAGACAGCAATGAGACCTCCAAAGACATTGCACAGTGGAATCATCATAGACATCAGGCCAATAAAGAAGAATGAGGCCACCTGAACACGATCAAGGAAAAACAAAAACATATTGTATCATATCAGCAAAGATTAAGGCAATTGGTGGGCTTTCGTACATTTATAGCGAATTAAGCTGTCTGCCTGTATTTACTTTAAAATAAATACAAGCAGTCTTCATGGATTATCACCATCAGAAGTTACACACCAAGATAAAACACACACATGTAACTCATGACATGCAATCAAAGAAATTCCACTACCCATTTCAAAAGTTTTCAAAATGAATTTGTAATGAACTATCCTGCAGGGATTATGTAAGGCCATTTCTTGTGCAGCTAGTTTTTGAAGTTACTCTCTTCCCATTTCACAAATGAAAGCCACAAAAATACCAGGAGTTTAATACAGCTAACACACTATAATTGGACTCCTCACTGTTGTAATTAAAAGTAAAAATATCAGTATTATGAATGATTACTTCAGGATGCTTATATTCAACAAAGGCAGAATTTGGAAGTCTCATTTCAATTTTTCCACGTATTTTCCTGTACTCCTGTGGCCATGTATACTTACAAAGATCTTAGATTAAGACTGTTATTTGTTTGTTGTAAATTAAAGGACTAAAACTCTATCTTCCAGCAAAATGAAGCTAAATTAAAAAGAAAATAAAAAGGTAAAGAGTTTTGCTTATGTACCATCCATATGTCAGCACAGGAAACCAATGTCCCACCTAACTGCACAAATGTAGTTTCCAAACAAGATATATGCACTGCACTTGCAGACCACTAAAGAGAAACATGGTCACTTAAGAAATACTACACACCATAATTTTTTGATGGATAAGTGACATCAAAAATTACTTCATTAGGAAAAGTCTTTAAGCAGACGGATAGGTGAAACTTAATTTTCAGGACAGCATAGTAATTATTTTAGTTAATGTATTTAGCATACTTAAAAACTGTTGTAAAACATCTGAAGTACAGTAGAGAAACACTTCAGAAAGGAGCTTGTAGGAACTTACAGATAAAGGTGAAGAAATTCTCAGTTCTGTGTATTCTGATACAGAAAATACAAGTTTTCTTTGAGTTTATATGCAAGTTAGACTTAGATATTAACTCAATTATTTCAGTTAATATCTAAGTAGAAATAAATGCAGTTATTTGCATTTTCTTGTTTTATCTTAATATTGACATTTCCTAGAAGCGTAACAATGGATATTAAATCGATGTGAATGAATGAGATACAGTACCAGTCTCTCACCAGGGAATCTAGTTACCTAATTATGGCAGCAAATGCTCCATCTTCAGAAAGGTGGCTCTCAGCCCCAAGAATTGTTTTCAATAATGTAGTACAGATAATAGCCATTAGATGTCTCCCTTGTTATTAATTTTAAAACAAGACAACAAGAACACCCAGTGGTTCATAACATGCAAGTTATTAGCTAAAGCTTTCCAAAAATCTACATTAACACTGTTATGTTCTCAAAAAATATCATTTATAAGTATGGAGGGTAAAAGTGTACGTTCTCCTTCATCTCCAAGCTTCAGCATTTCTGGAAGCTGTGACTTCTGCAAGTAACCCTCTTCATTCAGCAAAATCTCAACTAAGCACCTCTCACACTCCCATGGCTTTACCAGTGTGCACTACACACAGAGTATACTTAACACTAAATTATCATCTACCAAAAAAAAAAAAAAAAAGAGATCCAAAATCCTTAACAGGAGAACATGAAAAGAAAAAAGAAAAAGAAAAAAAAAAAAAGAGAGAGAAAAAAAGAAAAATCTGTCTGCAACCATTATGAAATCATGGGATAAAACAGCGAAGCCAAATCTAAAGAATTCCCAAAGGTCTTCTCAAATGCTAATGGTTAGTAATTCCTTACATTCCCAGCTGAAAACAGCCAGCATGTAGCAGACATGTTTCCTTAGCATTAAAAATATTAGAGGGGGGAGCAAAAAATTAAAAAGGAAAAAAAAAAAAGATTCATGAACTTTGCACCAAAGGCTTCTAGTATCAAAAACCACACATTGAGTTTCCTAGAGTTCTGATGTTTCTCAAATTTGAATCTCCAATCAGTTAACTCTGCTTACTTAATTGGACCTGCAACCAAAGCCTTCAGAATATTGTTTGAATATTCCTGTGGAACGCTGTGAAGACATACCTGTAAATAAACTTTTTTTGCACCAGGAATATAATCTGCAACTCTCCCAAAGATCAATCTGCCAACTCCTGAAGTAATGCCCAGACACAGCAGAAGCACTTCTTCTGGCACGCTGTCATCAAATCTGTCTTTTACATGCTTCATCTGTTTAAAAAGAGGTTAAGAAAATAAACTAGCTTTAGAATTAAAAGGAAGATAAACCTGAGAAAACTTGAGTTAAACAGAAGTAATCTGTGAATCTCAGACTTACAAATATGGCTACAAATGGTCAACTAAATTACTCTGCTTTTAGAGATTTTAGAATAGTTCTGTACTGGCTTATCAGTATTAACTGCAATACAATAAAAACAATCTAAATCATGTTGCTGCTTTAGTCACAATTAAGGAACTTAAATTAAGAAACAACAAGGCTGCATCTAACACCAAGAAAAATGAAGAGAGCCTGAAGTGTTCTCCCCAGCCACATTGAATCTCCTAGTCACGGATTTAACATATCGGCAGAATCCACAAGGATTCTGAACTGGCTGCGTCACTGGCTGGGGCATGCTCTGAGGTCTGAAGGCACCAAATGATTAATGAGTGTCATTGCAGTACTGTTCTGTGCATTAAGACAGAGATGCATGCTACCAAGCTCGGAAACATAGCTCAGGGCAGGAGCAAGAAGCAGAAGGGCAGAGTGTTGAAGGCCACATGATACAAATAGGAGATGCCCCTTAGGCTGCCTCATGCTGACATCCACAACCACCATAACATCCAGGGGCAAAGAAGAGGAGTAGGAACAACCTACAGTGACAAACACAACAGTAAGCACTTGTAGGATAGGGTGCAGCTTCAACAGCACTGACGAAGGCAGGCAAAGAATGATTTGTCAGCCATTCCAACCTGAAGAACTAAAGTATTGACTGATGGTCTTTACAGTAGGTCATCAACCACAATGTGATGAACTACCAGTGTCAACAATTCTAACCTTTAAAGTCCTGTTAAGGAAAAAAAAAAAAAAAAAAAAAAAAAATCATCATCACAAGACTGGCTTTGGATTTTTTATATTCTTTCTGGTTCCACAGTATTGCTTGGTTGTTTGTGGGTTTGTAGTTTTTATTTTAAATCAATGAAGATGACCAGAAATTATTCATAAGAAAGACTTTGCACAATCACATTTTGAAACACACTTGGCAATACCAAACATGCCAAAGTGGGTGTTAGGAGATGTAAAAATCATTTGCATAGTCTTGCAGTCTCTGTGCTCATACCTAGTTCCAAACAAGAGACTGTAAAGACTTGGAGGTGTGAAGAAGCAAAAAGAAGAGACTGATTTTAAGTAAACATGTAGTAAAAACATTTGAGAGACAAAGGGACAAGGCGCTGACAGATCTGGATAGCAAAAGCTGAATACCAATTTTTGTTATTAATTCTGATTGTGTGATAATGTATCAAACTAGAGAACCCTTAATTTTGCATCTTTAAAATGTCAAAGTCCAGTTTTAGCAAATACTTCTAGAGCAAAAGAGTCATGATTCTTTCCTGGCCAGATCCTTAACATACAAGCAGAGCCTTCCCTCCCCCCTGTTCTCCAGCAAACAGGACATGCTAAATGATTTTCTTAAGTATAAAATCAGTTGGGTTTTGTTTACATGTCACAAAGTCTATTGAATCCAATATGAATTTGTCCAATATAATTGATTTTGTCAGAAAGGAAATAAAAAAATGAGGGTTAGTGGTTTTGTTTTGGTTTTAAAAAATAACTGCTAACTTTAATTGGGAACAGATGCTTGCTCTTTCTATGTTTTAGTTTGTTTTTTCTTTGCTTTTTAAGACACATTTGGGAATAGAATCTTATTTTGCATCTGGAATGATATTTAAACATAAAAGATAAGTTGTTCTATTTATTCTCTTTCTGTCAAAGGTGAGAAGAGGAAAAGCTGACAGTTTTCCCACCCTTACCTTTATGTGCCTGTCAACACCTGCCGGGACAGCCAGCAAGAGAAGCCAAGGTATTTTCTGCCATTCTTGTCACCTGTTCCACTTCCATGTTTCTGCAGCCTCTAGCTTGTTTAATTAGCAGACCCGATTCACTCACTCCCTGGAGGCTTTTCGAGAGGCAAGATAAAGTTCTCCATCTAGATAACTGTTAACCCTGCATCTGTAACCGAGTAGGCTTTCTCAAAGCAGCACTCGGGATGAAATGCAGTCTTTTTAGATAAGTGGGAGAAAATAACCACCGCTCATCTCAATCTTCAAATATTTAAATTAGGTTTTTTGGGTTGCTTTACCTTTCACCTCTCTTAAGCACACCATAACATTAAAGAGAGCTTCTAACTAAATGTAAGGAGGAGGCAGTAGGCAGAGGCATAAGCCACCCAGATAGTTCAGTCTCTTTTTTCAGAGGTTTTCCAAACCCAAGTGCACAAAGCCCTGAGCAACCTGGTCTGATCTCAGAGCTGACTGAACCTTAACAGCATTCAATCTTCAGTGATACAGTCATTAAGCTGTAAGTAACAACAGTATTATTAACTGAGTATCTGAAAATGCAGTGATTCAGGATTAATTTACTACTATAAATGCTAACTCATTATGGTCTTACAGATATTTCTTGTAACAATAGGTTAAATATATTTATTTATGATTAAGTAGTTCTAATGAGATTCAGATTTCCATGTATTTTTAGCTGTCAGAACTACTCAAAAATCCCATGATGGGCAATTACTTGTGAATCTTCCCAGGCAGCATCTCATGCATTAACGCTCCTGTCAGTGCAGAACTACAGAGGCTGTAATTATATGACTCCTTAGGCATTATCTACGTCTATCAGTCAAATGGGGACCCAGGCACACAGACACATCGAAAGCCAAAGCATTTCCCCATGGGTTCTGCCTGCTCTCATTAATGTAGCTAGCTTTTCACTCAGAGCTGCATGCATGCCAAATGGCAGGTCTGTTCTTTCCAAATGTAGAAAAGGCCAGAGACAACCAGTCCAGACTAGCATGGCTTCTTTACTAGTTATCTTTGTACAGTCCAATTTTCAAAATTAAGACATAGACACTGGACAATATAACTGAATGCATCCTTGGCACCAGCATTCTACCTTACACCCTTGCTCTCTTAATATCAACATACTGCATACACAGATCTCCAAATTCTCATTACTGTTAGGAAGAGACTAGGAAAAAGATTAACCGCTTGGTAGTGGCTGGAATGCTTTCAGATATACTCTCTTGGCTAACCTCTGTCCATGCAACAGAGACCCAGATTTTGCCAAGATCTTCCACCATCCAACGTGCACACATTTCAGCTGTCTTCACGCACTAAATCAGAGAGAGCAATCTGAGCATAGCTGTAGTTCCTTCTTCCAAACACAAAGAACTTGAATCTGAATGAAGCGGTAATGAACTAATAAGAAACAATTCTCCCTGTCAACTGCTTTCTTCCTGTGTATATTCCATTTTAGGAATTTCTAATCAAGTAAAGCTTTAGTAGGCTAAATGAAATTCAATCTCTTTCTCACTGAGAGAGATGGCCAACAGCAATATATAGCCTAGAAAAGTTTAAGCACATACAAATCACCATTTTTAAGTCCTGATGCAGTGTAAGAATAAAAGGAAACATTTACAGAGCACCACTGGTACTGTTCATAAATTGGACATATCATTCCCAACTGCTCCAAACTAGGTTGCCTGAAAGCTGATGAGAGTTCTTTTGGTTTTGATTTTCCGTTCCCAAACAGGAAAGGAATCTGCCCTGAAGTATAAGCACTCATAATATCTAGAACAACAATAATGTTTTTCCAGTACTAACTGGCCCTCTTAGCCATGCAACAATTTTAAATCCAGACACCCAAAATAATTCTAGACTTGTATAATGTATGAGACTTAGCCATCACGCTAGGCATGGCAGTACCTCCGTAATTTACTCATTTATTACTCTTGTGGCTTTCAAAAACCCATTCAGTATTACTAGATGACATGATGGCCTTATTCCAACACTCAAGATATTTTATTTTCCCAAGCTATGACTGCAAAAAAGGCAAAAGACAAAAAAAAAAAAAAATAAAAAAATAAGTACATATCCACGTAAGGGTATTGGCCACTGACAGGACACAACTGGAGTGGGTAGGGTTATACGGGTGTTCATCTTCATGACTGCAATTAGATCCTCAAAATTTAAAAAACCTAAAAGCTTAGGTTTATTTTGCACACATCCCCTGATAAAAGAACAGCCTTACTGAGGATGTACAGATCTTTCTGTGCTGTTAGTGCCATCACGCAGCAGCATTCCTTCAATGAAGGAGTCAACCACATGCCTAAACAAGCTGATTCCTTCAAAGGCCTAGAGGAAAAAAAAATACTAACTGGTGGCCTTGATAAAGATCAAGAACTTTGCAGTGAACTGACCTGGAAGACTGATACTTTCAGAATGTGCTGAAAAACAGGGTATAAAGTAACTCTGGACAAGTCACTGTTTATTCTCATAGATAACAACTTACCACAAAAATGAGGGAGAATGGAAAAAAAAAATAAAGAAGAAAAGATAAAAACTTGGTTGCCAGAGAACTGTATGATACAAGACACAGGGAAGATCTTTTAATACAAACACATTTCTGGTCCAGACTCCACCAAGGAATCTTCTGCTGATGAGCCAAAAACTAGCAAGCAAACCGGCAACTCCTGACTCCTGAACATCTATTGAAACAAAGATCTTCATGTTAAGAGACATAAAATACCTAATGCAGATCCATTTGTAAGGGAACATCATCATACTGAGATGGCTACAATAGCATTTTTTTAGAAATCGTCTTCACATGACAAAAACATACATACATACATCTTCAAGATAATGCCTATTTACATACATGCCACAACAGTGAGAATACTTCTTTTCTATCTCTGGTCAATTTAATCTACATAATGAACAGAGAGAGAATTAAAGAAACAAGGTGATTGTTAAATGGCAATATGGAAATTTTTCTACTATTCCACTAGGTAAAGAAGATTAAACAGAATAATCCATATATCATGAAGATTCAGAACAAGTATAATCTGAATTTCTTAATTAAAGCTGAAGATAACAGTTAAATAGGCTTAACACTTAACCTGTTAACAAAGTTAAGAATTTAGATTGGATTAAGACAGACTCAGGTTGACAATTAC